CTACTAATTATTTGAGTGGGTCTGATCACAACACACCCACACAAAGTCCCACCCAGGAAAACCATTGTCTAGCTCCCCGGGGTAGAAATGCTTCATACTGTCCAAAATATATTTAAAGATCCAGGAGCAGGAAAACAAGTCAACTTCATCAAAGTGATTACGAGTGCGATGCCGTCTACACTGCTCCCCAGAACCACAGTGGAATCTGTGTTGAACAGCCCAAAGGCAGCCTGGGAGCTCAGCATTTAAAGTGGTGTAGACTGCAAGATCTTTGGGGGTAGAGATACTCTTTTCACTGGATCTGTATTGTGGCTAGCACCATGGGTCCCTGATCCTTGATTAGCAGGTACTACTGTGAGTTCTACTACTACTAGTAGTAGTGAGTTCAAACAAAGTTAGGAGATGAATGGGCTAATGAGGAACGTAAGCATGCGAGAAAAGGCCTTGTCTGTAACACACTTCAACGTGAAAACGCTTGAAGTTAAAGCCGTGCACTCTGGCACATGCAAAATTAACGATTACAAACAAAATTACTGACATCAGAGGAGGAACAATGTCTGAACTGCCACTCACGTGCAGATTTAAAACATTTCAACAAAGGGAGAAAGAGTTAAACAAAACTGGAAGACAGAAATTTCTGATTGAGGACATCGCAGAGGCCTGGTGAAAGACAACCCTGTCAGCCTGATACAAAAGGTAACTAAGGACCTGTTAAATAGGCCAAAAGAGCCCATTATTGAAAGCGTGCATCAAGTCTTTGCCTGCAGCAAGCAACACACCCAGAAATAGTTGTCAAAAAGCATCATTACAAGCAGGAGAGCAGAGAGGTCACAAAATACAAGGCTTCTGGGACCTGCCTGCCAGGACACTCAGGGGCAGGAAGATATTGGGACATTGGAGAGATGAAGGCTTCCATTTAACCTTCTGCTAAGCTGTTCTATGCTTTAAGCATTTTGAGGCAGGAACTTTTTGTTGTTGGAGCAACGCCTAGCAGAGGGAGGTCCTGGTCAATGACTGAGGCTCCTAAGTGCTACCACAATGCAAATAATCATCTCTGACTTCCTGTTGTTTTTCTAGACCATCATTTCAGCTGGGACAGATAGGGAAGTAGGGAGCCCTGCCCTTCAAACCTCCCTTCCCTGCCTTTTTCAGAGCCATGAATCCGAGCTGTCCCTGCCTTTCACCAGGGGCCCCGTCCATTTTTCAGTTTAATGAGGAAAGTCGTTATCTAGTTTCTGTCCTGTGCCCTGTAAAGCAGTAGCTCTCAACCTCTCCAGACGACTGTACCCCTTTCGGGAGTCTGATGTGGGTACCCCCACGTTTCACCTCACTTAAAATCTATTTGCTTACAAAAATGAGACAAAAATGACAGCACACTATTACTGAAAAATTGTTGACTCATTTTTAACCATATTATACAATAAATCAGTGGGAATAGAACTATTGTACTGACAGTGTATAGTCTGTAGAGCAGTATAAACAAGTCACTGTAGGAAATTTTATTTTGTACTGACTTTGCTAGTGTTTTGTTTTAAAACTAGGCAAATATCGATATGGGTTGATATACCCCCTGGAAGATGTACCCCCCTCTGCATACTCCCAGAGGTACAGATACCCCCAGTTGAGAACCACTGCTCTAAAGGCAAACCAAGTCTGGAACGCTGACTGTTTGAAGTGTCAACATGTTTTATCTGGAGATGTCAAGATTTTCAGTCTTCAGCCCAATCTTTGGGAGAGGTGCAGAGAGTAAAGGCACATGCAGTAATACTGGTTAACTAGATTAAAACTTCAAGGAGTCCGGTGGCACCTTAAAGACTAACAGATTTATTTGGGCATAAGCTTTCATGGGTAAAACACCACTTCTTCAGATGCATGGAGTGAAAATTACAGATGCAGGCATGACATAATGACACATGAAGGGAAGGGAGTTACCTCACAAGTGGAGAACCAGTGTTGACAGGGCCAGTTCGATCAGGGTGGATGTAGTCCACTCCCATTAACAGATGAGGTGTCAATTCCAGGAGAGGCAAAGCTGCTTTTGTAATGAGCCAGCCGCTCCCTATTCAAGCCCAAATTAATGGTGTTAAATTTGCAAATGAATTTTAGTTCTGCTGTTTCTCTTTGAAGTCTGTTTCTGAAGTTTTTTTGTTCAAGTAGAGCTCCTTTTAAATCTGTTCTAGAATGTCCAGGAAGATTGAAGTGTTCTCCTACTGACTTTTGTATATTACCATTCCTGATGTCCGATTTGTGTCCATTTATTCTTTTACATAGGGACAGTCTGGTTTGGCCAATGTACATGGTAGAGGGACATTGCTGGCACATGATGGCATATATAACATTATTAGACATGCAGGTGAATGAGCCCCTGATGGTGTGGCTGATGGGGTTGGGTCCTCTGATGGTGTCACTAGAGTAGATATGGGGACAGAGTAGGCAACGAGGTTTGTTTCAAGGATTGCTTCCTAGGTTAGCGTTTCTGTAGTGTGATGCATAGTTCTTGGTGAGTATTTGCTTCAGGTTCAGGGACTGACTGTAAGCGAGGACTGGTCTGTCTCCCAAGGTCTGTAAGAGTCTGTAAGTTTTCCAGAATAGGTTGTAGATTGTAGATAATGTGTTCGAGAGGTGTTAGCTGGGGGCTGTATGTGATGGCCAGTGGTGTTCTGTTATTTTCCTTGTTGGGCCTGTCCTGTAGTAGGCACCTTGCTCTGTCAATCGGTTTCCTCACTTCCCCACGTGCGTACTGTAGTTTTAAGAATGTTTGATAAAGATCTTGTAGGTGTTTGTCTCTGTCTGAGGGATTGGAGCAAATTTGGTTGTATCTTAGGGCTTGGCTGTAGACGATGCATCGTGTGATGTGTCCTGGATGGAAGCTGGACGCATGTAGGTAGGAATAGCGGTCAGTAGGTTTCCGGTATAGGGTGGTGTTTATGTGACCATCACTTATTTGCACTGTAGTGTCCAGGAAGTGGATCTCTTGTGTGGACTGGTCCAGGCTGAGGTTGATATTGGGGTGGAAATTGTTGAAATCCAGGTGGAATTCTTCAAGGGCCTCCGGCCCGTGGGTCCATATGATGGATTCATATGATAGGTCCATAGATTAAAACTTGTATCCTTGAAGCCTCCTTGGCAAAAGGGACCCACTGTCAGGGTTCTAATTGTCAGGACACTATGATCTGGACTATGATCACTTTCTGGGCTGAAGGAGAGGAAACCTCTGCAGGCCTCTTTTCACTAACCATTACTGGACTGACAACTATGTTTTTGTCAATCCAGTTTCAGCCATCATGCACCAAGATCAATCTTCAAATAAACTCCCCACTCATTCCATAATGGGAGTGCAAAATAGAACACAGGACTAGGGTACATGCATGTGCACAGCCAACTCAATTACATTAAGTATCAGTTGCTGCATGATTTTCACCTATTTAGTTAGTGTTATCTTTCATTAACAGCAGGAGCTCTCAGTAAGTCGGATTGTTCCCGTTGCCTTTTTTGACATTCCTTTGTTTGAATGCCATAATAGCTTTGTTGGGCACAAAGGGGAGAGAAGGCAGAACTACAAATGCTAATTATTGGAAATCTTTGGCTCAGTTAGACAGATTTTTCACTTGCCATTTATGTGATGCAAAGTCACTACCCATTAGTTAACGCTCATGGTTGTTTTTGTTTTTTTAATATATTTCTTACGGATACTCCCTACACGTGGGAAGAGGGAAAGCCGGCTCCCCTGAACAGCACGGCTAGAAGAATCACCAGAGTCATCCTGAAGAGAAGACTAAGGGCTGGCATGTCATTGGCTAAAATGAGAAGAGCCTGAGAAAACACATTTGAGATAACCTAAGAATCATCAAGCTTCACTTACATTGAGGTCTTATATGGCTCCATTTGCAAAATGGTACCAGACTCCTAGGGAAGCACATTCCCAGCTCACTAGAACCAAGGAAAGAAAGGATTGCCTCATTGTATCCCATTTACCTCCCATTGCCACCACTAGCTAGGTTTTACTATAGAAAATATTTGTACTATTGTAGCACCTAGGAGCCCTAGTGATGGACCAGAGCCGAGCCCAGCCCAGCCACATACACAGAACAGAAAGACACTTCTCATCCCAAAGCACTTACTGGTACCTTGGTCTCTTATTTTTTTCCAGTATATGTGACAGAAGGATTTGAAGACACCTTTCGACACCGAAGCCACATTAAACTCTGCTAAAAAGCTAATACTGTTGAAAAAAGGAAGAGTATCAGGACGTTGCTTCTTTAAAGCATCTCTTTTAAAATAAAGACACCAGCACAAACCGTTATCCCTTTTTAGATCTGAGAGAAGGCTGAGAAGTGACTTAATCATGGTCTGCAAGTACCTACGGGTGAAAGATTTCTGATAGTAAATGGCTCTATCATTTAAGGGCATAATGAGCTCAAATGCTTGGAAGCTAAGCTAGACAACTTCAGAATAGAAATAAGGAATAATTTTATTTTATTTTTTAAACGAGCGCCTGTTGGAAACATGGGAACAACTTACCAAGGGATGTGATGGATTCTCCATCACTTGAAGATCTTTAAACCAAGACTCTCATTCTAAAAGATATGCTCAGACAGAAAGGCTTGAGGAATAAGTGAGGTTCTCTGACCCCCTGTGCTACGCAGAAGGTCACAATGGATCATTACAATGGTCCCTTCTGGCTTTACAATTTGCTAATCGCTCAGAGATTTTTAATTTCATTGGAAGTTAACAGCCAATGAATACTTTCTATTTAAAAATGGGAGTTCTCTCCAATTAAGTGTTTACTGATACTAACATGACACCACACGTAAGTGTTCCTATTAACATACAAAATAAAACTTTTCCAGATGAAATCTAACTTTCTCCCAAGTATGCCTTTTATTAGATTTCTGTAGAGGTCAGATAAGCTATTGGCACCAAGTACTTAAAAACCTACTGACAGTCAATGTATCATGCTCAAATAAAATCTACAGAGACTTCTTGCAAAATTATATAAATAAGTGTGAATGACAAAAGTTTATTAAACGTATTTTTAAAAAATTATATCTTTCTTAAATAAGGATTTCTCAGTAAGGATTTCATTGTAAAACAGTTTTGAAGCAATTCATAAGTTACTTTATTTAATAACAGGTTGCTCAATAAAAAAAAGTCATTTACTTATATACTGTAGTCTTCAAACCAGCCATATTTAAACAAAGTACACTGCATGTACTTATGGTATTGTCCATCACACACTAGTTAATGTCAATGCAGCATAGCTGGATAAAAATAGCTCCATTTTGTAGCTGTAAACATTTAGATTAAGTGGCAGGCAAGATGTTGTATCAGTTCTTAGATCTTTCCCGCCCCCCCAAAAGCTTGCCGTTTAGTGCACGTTTTATTCAGGACATAGTATTCCATATTTTTTTAAAAGTCTAGAAAAAAGTTTTACAAACAATACACTAAAACAATGCATGAGAAGATTTAGTCATGGCAATTTCACTGGAGCTTTATTGCCTCTATTGGTAATGAGAGGGATTTGTAAGAAATTACATTGAACTTACAGAGATATGCAGATGATGTTCTTTACTAAATATAATCTTGATCTTAAGTGTTTTATATCAGGGCACGTCTAATCTTGTACATTTTTAATGTATAAAAACATAGATTACAAATTTTAAGTGTTTAACCCTTTTTTTGACATTTGGCAAAATGAAACTGATCCATTAACGGGAAATCATTATCAAATTGAGGACTTAAGCACTTATGAATTAAAGCAATCCAAGTAGGTAACTGTCTGAATTCTTTAAAAAAAAACAACACACACCCCACACGCATATATAAAGGAAGAACACATGGCCACATGTCTGAGCACTTTTCAATACAAAATATTTCCTGTAACCAGGCATTCATCCTTAGAATAACCACACTGTTAAAATCAAGCTTGTTTCCAACTAGAGTCATTTGTTTTGTTAAATTCTAAGATGCCATTACAGCATGAATAACCTTAACTTTTCTGCTACATAATTATCCAAAGCTTTATGTAAATGTATTTTTGTTTTATAATTACACAGTAATTATAAGTGTGTAGTACCAAACTGATGACAACACTATTTTGTTGAAAAGGTCTCGCATTCATAAGGAACATTCTTTAAAAACAGCATGGCATTATGCCACTAACCAATATCAGATTTTTGTGAAGGTCATATCTGTATTGGGATAAAAGCTAATTAGAGCTCATCTCAAAACACAGCATACTTGAACTAATCAATCTGAAACTGTACCAAAACCCTTAAGACAGAAAACAGCACGCATATATACCTTGTAAAGTTTTCATAATTCAAGTCCCCCATTGATATTTACACAAAATTGAAAAAGGAAATACTGAAAGCAGCAAAACAAAAATCACACACATTTTTGGCATAGCCAATTCCAGCAGCTGGAGTAGAAATTTGCAATGCATTTTGTAGAACTGTATTCTTGAAATAAATGCATGACCGGACTTTGTTAAAAGGGCACTGCTATGAGGGAAAGCCTGCCTTTTAGTCAACTTCAAAGCACACAGGGTAAAAGTTTTAGCAGTTTAATACTTAAATTCTTCCTAAAATCTTTTTAGCATCTGCATAAAAGTGTACTGCTGTTTTAGTGCAAGTTCCACTTACTAATTTCAACAGTAATTACGACCTTAACATGGGACTGGCTGGAGTATTCAAGTAAGTACCCTATTCCTAATAATTACTATAATTTTTTTTTTTTAAAGACATCCTCGTTTGACATTTTCTGGCTTGTTTTACAGAAGTTTTTATTTCAAGAAAACAATAACCTCTCCTTCATAAGTCAGCAACTGAAGAGTGAAAAAGCATTTTCAGGATGAAAGCAGTTCAAGGGCTCCTGTAATGTTAAAAAGCACACAACAAGATAAAATCCTGCTTTGAAGTGAAATCAGTTCTAATTTAGTTATGTGCAGTGAGACAAATTGAAGTAGTAGTGATCAACAAAATAACGTAAGGAAACAAAAGAAGCCAGGGTAGTATTTTGCATCTGATCTATGCTTGTTTTAGAAAGTTTTACTTTTAATATCTGTAATTGGCAACCACAATGACCTGTGAAAATCCCAACAAAGTAAGTAATTGAGAAAATGGGCTTTGTCCATAAAGGCAGTACCTATATGTTGTAAAAATGTAACTTAAATGGCCCATGATAATCACTTCAAAACTCAGATTCATATCAGATTTGCCACCCTCTTATAAAGCAGGTTCATTTGTTATTTCATACCGCAACCATCAAAACCCATGTCTGAATTTAAAATACTGTATTGTGTACAAAACATAAGACACAAATTCAGTATATTGTTCAAGTTTTAGATTTCCACACAAATGAAAACATCTTCCTGGACAGACAGACAAGCATTTCAAAACTGTAATGAAATCTGATTAGATAATAATCTAGAGACTATTAGATTCTGTTATGCACGTAGCGTGTCTCAATGAAGCTCACTGGAGGCTGACTATAATATTAAACCAGGAGTGCTATAAGTGCACAGTAGTTGTGTAGTACTTCAACTCTTTTCAAAGACAGTTGACATACAATAAAACCTTTCATATAGGCACCTAGATTTTCCAGTATCAACATTCTTGTTTTTGTTGGTTGTTTCTACAATTGTTTTAATCAGATACTCAAAACTCACTTAGACAATACCTGTAACTGCCATGAAAGAAAAAAAAAAATCGGACCCAGTACACTTAAATATATCACTCTTATAGGAAGTGCTATCAGTATAGTCTTTGCAACTAGCCCAAAGTGTATATTTAAGGAGTTTAAAAAAACAAAACAAAACAAAAAAACATTTGTGATGTTGATCTGTATAATGCAGATGCCAAACCACAGTTGTCTCATGAAGACAGCATTGTGCTTTATGCGAAACCAGAAATCTCAAAATAAATCATCATAAAGCTTCTAAGACTTATGGGAAAGTAAACAAAGGTGGTCCACAAAAATATGATGAAATCCACTATGCTGGAATTATAACTGGCAAAAGTGGTTCAGACTAGAAGAGAAGCCCAAACCACCATTAGATGAATGAATGATATGGTCCAAGATGTATCCTTAAAGGTTTGTCTCAACCCTCAACCCTTATAGTGAGGATTGATCTTCAGTTCAGTCCAGCCAGCAGAAATTGACTGTGCAATTTTCCGTTGTATCTATTTGTACAGTCTATGTACATTCTAGAAGGGTCCTTTAGTGCTACACTGTCGTACTTTTTGTCCCAGCAATTTGAGGGCGTGCAAATTCCACAAAGTCATCAATAAGAACCGGCCATGCCCCTGAAAGCAAAGAACAAGCAAGAGCACATAAGAAATCAGATCAACAAATCCCCCTTCTCCGCCCCCCGCTTCCCCCCAATGTAGAGCTATACAGTTTAAAAAAACCTCTTTAAATCAAAATAGATTCTTCACATATTATCTTTCCTGTTTAAAGTTTTAAATGAATAATCCTCATTTGATTCTGTTTCTTGAGATTTAAGATCTGATTAATATTTTTTTCATCAACTGAGACCTCCCCCATGCCAACACACAATTTAAACATACCAAATTTTTCAGGTACCATGACATAACAATCATCTTTTTTTTTTAAAACCGAGAAAAACTGGACAAAAACTCCTTTCAGAGCCAATCAACATGATCATTGGCCTGAGGGGGTGGAGAGTAGACAGCACAATCTCCACAGCACTCATCTCACCTGGCTGACCAAAATGGGAACCAAAACTCAAATCTGGGTCTCCAGAATGGCAGCAAGTGTGAAGGAATTCTAATAACCGTGACTGCACGCACCGCCCTAACAGCACAAGAGCAGCAAAATAATTAGCGCTCACAACAGGGTTCCACATTACTGTCATGTTCAGATGCTGACATCAGCATGCGTCACCACATCTCAAACAAAAAATTTGCTGCTACTGCAGATACCTTAGGTGGCCGGTCTTGAAGAAACCCTTGCAGATTAGAGGAATGTACCGGATGAAAATACGGTGCACTCAGTGATTATCCAATTCTAAATACTACCCCCTTCATAGGCCTTTCATTCTGTGTGCGTTCCCACCTTCATTTAAATAGAAGGTCGGAAATGCTGACAAATCATAACTGGTGGCTAAAGAACAAAAAAAACCTGTTCCTCTGCTGAGGAACAGCAGAAGCAGAGAAGCCATGCAAGGATATGGGGGGGCACGAGTGGGGGGGAAAGAGAAGCACCATTAGTTGATTTGTTGGAGGAAGCAAGAACTGGGAAGGTAAATTTATTTTTATTTATATGTGGTAGAGTTGGAGACAATTTGTTTTATGTGGGGAAGAGCTGATTTTGGGGGGGCAGGAGAGTGAAGATGTTAAAAATAAAAACAAAAAAGTAATCTCCTGGCTTTGGGGAAGGGGCAGCACAAGTATTTTTTATCTGTGCTAGTAGGCTTAGTCCTCATCAGCTACGTGGCAGAGAACTGCTTCGAACCCCAGGAAAAGTCACATACTGTTTCGCAGATGTTCTGTTTGCGAGTTATTAGACAGATTTGCTACCCCAGAGACACACTGCTAAATGTATTATCCACAAAAACACACACACACAGAAACTGATGCAACAAAATGTAAATACTACCTTCCTCATCATAATTAGACATATCATCTGCTATCATTGTACTGAAGTCTAAAAGAAGGTTCCAGGTATCCTTAGGTATTGATCTTTTATGATGTTCCTATTTGGGGAAAAAAAAATCTGAGTTTAAAAACCATGAACAAAATTAATTTTAAAGTCTGAATATTCAATATTAAATCCCTGAGTATATGCAAGTCACCCTCAACTAAATTTTTTACAATATTTGCCAAAACTTTCAACATCTATGCATCACAAAAGAATGCTCTGTCAAAATAAGTTATGTGATCTCTTCAAAGATTTTAATACACATGGATTCATCTTCCACAATAAAAAAAACCCCAAAGACTTATTGCAGCCCAATTTATATTATATAATAAGGTTTAAACTTACCAATAAAAATTTGTTCCACAAGTCTAGGAATTTAAATCTTCCATTAAGTACTAAATTCCAGTAGGCTATAGCCATTTCTAAATCTGTAATATTAAAAATATGTTACTCCTATAGATATATTTGAAATATACATTTTCTCCAAGCCTGATTGGACTATAAACTAAACTAATGAAGGTGAAATAAAATTCACTCTCAATGCAAGAATACTCTTAGGTTCTTTCAAAAATGTTTTAAAAAGGTAATGAAAACTGAGGAAACTGGTGGGTTTGTTACAGATGAACTAACCCTCAGATTTAGGTATGACCCTGGGGCATACAAGACCTGAAAATGTATTTAAATTGTCCAGGTTAATAATTACTCTGCCCAAAGCATACAACAGATTTTTCAACTTCTTTTTACTGTAACTTAGCAACTCAGTCCCAACTTTGCTCTACACAAAAAGAGATACCATTGACTTCAATAAGAGTTCCACATCATTTGCTGGATTAGGCTCCTTTAATCATATTTAATCAAATGCAATTCCCATAACCTAGTTTGCTATAATTTTATTTTTAAAGCAACTTTGTTACAGGTTTTAGAGTTGCAAAATGGTCTTGTCAAATTTTCAAATTGATAAACAGATTTCCTTTAGGACAAGTATCCCGGGAAAGACTATGTACATTAAGTGGTTGTCTTTATGATGGCCAATGTGGATTCCTGCCCGTTTTAAGTCTTTTTTCAGGGTAACTTTCAATCTCTCTCTATTTTGAGTGGGCCTGTATTTCTCAAAGCCAGGAACAAATCAGGACTACTGAAGTATGTGCATGTACCCAAAAACAACTTTATTTTATATCATCAATTAAGAGAGAATAAACTCTTCAAATGAAGATTCAAAAATCTCAATACCATCCAGAGAGAGAATCACTGTCAGCCTAACTGGATCCACCTTCAAAGTGTCCGCATCCAGAAAGTCTTACATCTTCTGGAGTGTACCAATTTGTTTTGTCCATAATCAATCCATACTTTAAGAAGTAAAAAGCACAGGCACACTGTTAGATTACTCTTTCAGACAAACCAATGAATTTTTTAGAGTAATATTAAAGACATCTAGATTAAATATGTTTTTCTGCCAATATGAGAACCTATGCTGGTCACATCTGAAAATTCTTACTGACTTATTTCCTGTGCTGAAAGTCTCTCCCCCTTTCCCAATAACTTTAACAGTGCTCCTCTAACAAGTCTAACAGAGCAATCCACCTCATCATAGCCCCTCCAGACAAATACAGAGTGAAATCGTGGCCCCACTGAAGTCAATGGGAGTTTTTCCAGTGACTTCATTTGGGTCAGGATTTCACACAAAAGATATAAGTTGAAGGCTTCCGGAGGCAGATCAAAATTTTGATCTGATGTGTTTTGCTGATGGACACGATATGCCATTATAGTTGAAAATACCAAGGCTGCACTAAAACTTAAGAAATCTTATTAGGCTCTTAGCGGTCAGAAATTTGAGTCTATCCCCACTTACTGGAGGAAGTTTCAGATATTAAACTGATGCTACACTTAAATCTTAGTTAAAAAGCTACTGGTGCCTTTCCAAGAAATACACACTTTATGTTTGGCTGGTCACACTACTTGAGGGTAAGAAGTTAGAAAAAGTAAGTATTATGATTTATAAAACGTAGTAGGCATACCAGATAGGTAAAAGCTGTCAAATTCCACGCACATTCTAGTGCTCTACAAACAAACAGTAATAATGAGCTACGCATTTCAATTTGCCTCCACGAGAACCATATGTTATATTCCTGTGGCCAATCAAGGACATTAAAACACAATTCTAATGGAACGAGCAGCTTTCATTATTCTTAAACCCAAAGCGAAAAAAAGCACAACCAACCAAACTTTTCCTAAGATAAAGGTTAGGACATGCATAAGTAACTTCACGGGAAGGAAGACATTTTAGGAAAATAATGGAAAGGACAACTGTTTAAAAAAAAAAAAGAAGAAGAAGAAGAAAAAAAAAAGTCAGGAAATTCAGATTTAGGAGTACATTTTTAAAACCCACAACAAAGAGTATGGAAACAGAGGTAAGGTCTCCCTAATAATCATCAACATCACAGAACAACAATACCAATGAACATTCCTATCTTCAGACTGTGTGCTTCATGTGTCAATTGTTGCATTCCCTGTTGTGATGGTGTAACAGATTAGTTCAGTGGTTCTCAAACTTTTTTTCCCCCGCAGACCACTTGAAAATTGCTGAGGGTCTCGGCAGACCACTTAATGATCTTTCCAAATGTTGTTTGTACTGTTAGCTAACTATTGTAAAGTGCTTTGGATAAAAACTAGATATAAAAAACCCTTAATAATGAACATTTTTTGTTCTACAAATAAAAGCACAACAACTCATATTTTAGTATCAGTAGTCTTACCTTTCTAATGCAATGGATGTGCCCTCTTTCCCCCGCCATGGCAGCCCCTGAGCTGGGGCTGGGAAGGAGGGGGTCTCTCCTTCTCTTCCCCAACACAGCAGCCCCCGAGCTGGGGCTGGGAAGGAGGGGGGGGTCGCTCCCTCGCCACAGCAGCCACAGAGCTAAGACTGGGAAGGATAGCCGTCTCTCCCCAGCAGCCACAACCCTGGAGCTGGGGCAAGTCACCTTTTTATCTGGCCGTCGCAACCCTGCACATCCCAAAGTGCTCCCATCCCCTCTTCTCACCATCCTCTGCCCCCTGCCACCTACCCCTTATGCCCCGCAAGGCCACCACCTCACCTTACATGTGTGTCTTCTCCAGGGTCCAGGCATCTACTTAGTGGAGCCACGGCTGTGTGGCTCGACTAATTAGGTGGGTGGCCCTTCATTCTCTTGTGTGCAGCTGCCCAGGCCCGCACCTTAGAGAGAACTATCTGTAGACCACCTGAATGGAGCTTGCAGACTACTGGTGGTCCACAGACCACAATATGAGAACCTCTGGATTAGTTTAAATGCTGCAGGAGTGTACAATCAAAGTGTCACCTATAGCACTCCAATAAGTAACTCCTTTCTTATGACCTTATTTTATCCCTGAAAGTAAAAAAAATTTACAGGCTTTTACATCTCTTTATCAAAAGTGTCCACACTCAGGACAATTCACAGAAGTATACTGTGACCAGATGCAGAAGTGTCATATGTGAGACTGACTCCATATCTGAAGCTACAAACCACTTAACAGGGGTGTTTAAAAAAAACCCAAAACACCCTACTTAAAAGTCTTTTATCAAATATCTCTGTCTCGCATGCAAGTTATGACAAATATAAAGGCATGCAACACAAAAAGGAATAGCAGTTGAAAGCTCATGGAACTACTGTATTGAAGAACAAATTTAATCCTCGGGGCATCCATGTGAGGTATTCCCATTTTACAGATATGGAAACAGAGTTTACGTGAGCTGCCTAGGAAGCATCTACACCCTGTGTCTCATTTTACCCATCTATAACCTGAGAATATGAAAGATTGAACATGTTGACAGGCACATGCATGTAGGTAATTATCCTCATATTACTGCACAGATGGGTAACTTACAGCATGAGGGGCGGAGGTGCACTAGTATATTAGACATGTGCCTAGAAATCAGATGTGGGTTCTCAGCCTAGAACATCAGCTTCCTGTGTAAAGTTGGACACATCAATTAACCACTCTGTGCTCGGGATTTTCTCATCTGTCATATAGAGATACTTGACATTTGCCTACCTCACAGGATGTTTTGAGGCACAATTAAACACAATAAAGTGCAAAGTATTAAGACCAGTAAATGGTATGAGTAGAACTAGAATTCTGCAACACCTTAATCCTGGCACTTCTATCAATCTACTTAACTATGTGTTTTGGATTTTTCAAAGGGGACAGCAATGAAGACCACCACTGGCTGATTTTTATACATCTGTACCAGCTTGGTGGTAGCATCTCAAATCATGTGTAAGTACAGGAACTCCTTAGGAACTTAAGTTGTTTAGGAGGCATGTAGACAGATTAAACATTTCCAGACGTGTACACATGCAGTGTCAGGAAACCTAGAAGCTGATAATGTAAACGAAAATAATGGCTACATAATTTTGCAATCCAATAACCCGGTATTTATTGGACAATACATTAAAACAAATTAGAAGTTTCTACAGGAAGCCATTTAAGTTGGATATTCCAAAAATAAAGTGTCCAAGAAGTGGAGTCCTTATTTAAGGAACCCCACAGGCTCCTTGCCCCAGCCTGCTCTGCACTCTCCCAGTTCTTGTCTCCTCTGCATTTGAATCAGGCAGCTTCCTCCTCCATATTGTCTATCCCAATTGGAGGGCCTATTTCAACAAGAGCACAGGAGCGAGTCTCCTGCTCTCAGTTCAGAGAGCACATCTGGACCAGCACAGCCCACAGCAGCTCAGGGCTGCAATTACAGGGAAAGTCCTGCTCAGCTCTTGGTGGCACATGTCCAGTGTGGATGGATTCCTTGGGGAATTAAGCTGCAAAAATATAGGAAGTCTCTACTGAGCATATAGAAACTAATTTTTTAAAAGCTTATAACTAAGGCTACATTTTAGTCACACGTATTTTTAGTAAAAAAGTCATGGACAGGTCATGGGCAGCAAACAAAAATTCACAGCCCATGACCTGTCCATGACTTGTACTATATATCCCTGACTAAATGCTGGGTGCTTGGGGGGGACGCGGCCCAGGACCCCTGCTGTTGCTGGGGGAAGGGGAGTTGGTGGCCTGGCTCCATGCGGCTCCCTGGAAGCAGCAACATGTCCCTCAGCTCCTAGGCAAAGAGATGGCCACAGGGGCTCCGCATGCTGCCCCCGCCCCAAGCACCGGCTCCACACCTCCCATTGGCCAGGAACCGCGGCCAGTGGGAGCTGCAGGGGCAGCGCCTGCGGGCGGAGGCAGCATACAGAGCTGCCTGGCCTCGCCTCCGCCCAGGAACTGAGGGACGTCCCTGCTTCCAGGGAGCCCCCCTGAACACTGCCCAGAGCCCTTACCCCCTCCCACGCCCCAACCCCCTGCCCCAGCCCTGAGCCCCCTCCCACACACAAACTCCTGCTGCTGCTGAGGGGGTGGGGGGGGAGGGAGGCCCACAGTGGCCTGAGACTGCCCCAGCAACAGCCGGTGCAGCTGGCCCACTGCAGAAGTCCTGGAGGTCCCGGAAAGTCATAGAATCCATTAATTCCGTGACAGATTCATAGCTTTACTTATAAAGTAGTCAAATTTAGGCAGATTTTCACTGGGATGGCCAGAGGCATACTCCTGACACAAAGGACAACCACCCTTGCCAAATGTTGAGTCCCTGCTCCAAAGCACAGGGGCTCTAAAGCTTTTCAAAGAAAAGGTCACCAAATTTTAAACACGGGGGAAACAATGTATTTTTTCCTAGCCCTGTTCTCAGAAACAATTGAATTGTTTTGGGCTGAAATTTTCCAAAAATATTCAGTCTGAGCCCCACCCCTACCATAAAACATTTTAGCCAACAGTTAAAGTTTGGCAAAGTTATAAGCAACTTACAGTAGTATCTTATACATGGGAAAATTAATACTAAGCAGTGCCACCAGCCCTGCCTATAGTAAGAGGATGAAAATGAACAATAAAGAGTTTTAGATTTTACTGGCATGAGCATTTAAAATGGTTGCAACACTCATGAATTTTGAAGCCACAAACAAATAATGCAAGTCAGTCCAAATAAGTGCAAATAATCAAACCTTTATACCACACTCCCATGTATTTTGTTTATGCCACTAATTTAACTAAAAGCTTTTAGAAATATTATATATTTGTGGCACAAACTGAATACATGAGGGGAGAGTTTTACTGGCACTCATTTGGAGTGACTTGCATAATACACATCATGCAACATCTCAGAAAAATTGTTGGAAATAAATTAGATGCAATCAACAGCTAATCTAGGTTCCATGACAAACAGCTAGCTCGAGCAGCAGTTTATCAAAACACTTCACAACATATTTTAAGTTTCCTAAAGGGACTCCACTAGATATGTATTTACCTTTAAGGAAGGTAAATTTGGAGGGCCAAACATATTGAAAGTGTCTTTCAAGGACACGGAACCTATTAGAAAGCAAGCTTTCAGACACTGAATTTCTATAGCAGCAATCAGTAACAGTTGATGGGTCTCTTCTATTCCTCCATACTACACACATTTATAGATTTTGTTTTAAGATAGTAAACTCCAATTTTTCTCCCAATGCATACAATCAAAGCAAAGAGATTCAAACCCCTTCCAGACATGTCTGCCATACCCTGGTTAGAAAACTAAAAGCTTTAGAAGCATGTGTCTGTTCATGTATCACTTTACCTCTAGTAAACAGTTACCATGAAATCTTTTTAATGGGAGGGTGATAACTCCCAATACAGTGAGCAGGAAAAGGGAAAACATGCTGAGACTGCATTTTAATCAAAAGGCTTCCCCCCATAGCCTGATCTTCAGAGCTATTTATTACATAGAGAACTACTGTAATACAAATAAATAATTACTACAGGTATTAACATACAAATCTAAAAGTTATATTTTTCTATATCTTCTTTTTATGTCATTCTTAGAGGCTGGCCTCCCTGAAGAAGCTATAAGAAGGCGGAAGGAAAATGAAAAAGGATTATTTTTCTTGCTTAATCATTTTCACTGAGGTCTCAAAAACAAATTATCTATCATTCCTGGGATGTTTAATTGATTGTTCTGTATATTCTCAGTACTATATGGAAATAAGCCAACAAGAAAAGAAACTACAGAGGAAATCAGAGCTGTGGTTTAAGCACAAAACTGGAAGTCACGAACTCCTATGATACACCCCCAGCTCTGACATGTGTGTTCTGAAGCTTTGAGAAAAATCACTTGACTTCTATGGCTCTGTTTCAAAATTATTTATATAAGGCACTAACTATCTCACAAGGATGTTACGGAGTATTAACTAGTTAACATTTGAAAAGCTATTTGAAAATTGAAACTATTATATAAATACTAAACATCACCATGGTAATCAGAAGCTATTGTTATGGTTGAGGTTGCAAAACTATTTTCATATTATCTCTCTCACACACACTTATACTCTTCTGTAAATTCACTGTTAAGGTTGAAACTTTCCATGTACAACCCCAATTCTGCAAGGGACTCCACATGGCAGTAAGACTCAGCCTATACATCTATACAATCGTGTTACTTACATCAACAGGTCTGTGTGTAGTGAAAACCACTTACCCCACTCTAACTTAAAATACCCAGCCAGGCCTACTGAGAGTACAGGAGAAGTTTGAAGATTGACACAGAAAGTATCCTCATGGAGAACAGACATTGCTAATTTATTAATATTTGGTTTTGATCGAACGAAGATTGGTTCAGGTACAAACTGCAGATTTATCACAGTAGAACGTAAACATAGTTTCACCATGCACAAATGTAAAGTACTGTGCACATTTGTGGGTTCAAGAAACTTTCTCTGGTGAAATTAATAAAAAGTTTGCAAGCAGCAAATAAAATAGCTGCAGATTTTTCATTGCCCTAATTCCCCCATTAAATGAAAAAAAAAATTTTCCCATTGTTTAACATTAAACAGTTCAAATGAAAGAAAATCAGGAAATATGAGTTGCTTTTGGAACCTTAACTGCACTGTACATATGGCCTATTTCTATTCCAGACTTTCTGATTAAATGAGTAGCTACACTGCAATGGCATAAATGCATATAATAAAACATACAGGATGTGCATCCTGGCCCAGTTAATACTGCTGTTAGAATCTAGCTTTTGCATTCCCTTAACTATTCATGCAGAATCATAAAAGTATTTCATTTAATTATTAGTAACAAACTACACCTTTTTCCCCCCTCCAATGACTTTTTCCTAGTGAGTAGTTCTTCCCCTTCACTCAGACACTCGATGCAATGACTATCAAGGGGGAAGCAATGAAATAAAATTATAGAAATCATAATTTGTGTGTGTCATTGGGTTTTATATTCTGGAATTTGTCGTCATTTTGCAATCTTTCTCCAAAGAGAAAAACTATAGATCCAGCAGGCCCTGAATTGTGCTTAAGATCTTGACTGTAGATGCAATGAGATGAAAATCTAATCATGCCTGATATGTGGAAATTACTTGGCGATACCTGAATTGTAGTTTGCAAAGAGATTTACATGTTTTTTTGGTGGTATGAGAGACTTTGTGCAAGTCTGTACCTATATGCAAACACACACTTACAAGTGAAAGTTAGGCTTTATATTTTTTCTTCTATTGCTCATGGTTGCAAATTCTAAAAGTTTTAATTATATTTTTAGTATGAAATCATAATGTGTTAACTTTAATGGAAATTTTGCACATACTGTACTCTGAAGGGAAGAATGCACCCTCACATGTTAAATTGAAACATTCAGTTCATAAGGCCGCAGAAAATCTCTATGAATTTGAAAATCTGGCACTGACCTTCAATTTAGTCCTGATATTTATCTTTTATCTTTTATGAAGTATATTTTTATCCCATGGCTAGTCTAACTGGATCATACCGTAGTAAGTGAAACTATTATTAAGTATTAGAGACAGTTACTAGTAACTATATCAGAAGTGTTTACAATTAAGAATACATACCTAAACCTTTCTGTCCAGGATTCTTTGCAAAGTTGAAAGTAAACTGATAAAAATCCTTAAATCTTCCTGGCTCTTTTAATTCTTGTTCCATTTTAGGAATCTGGGCCTTTAGTTTTTCTATGCTGTCACATCTGTATTTTAAAAAGCAAGTTTTTCTGTGTATTATTCATTTTGTCAAAATAACATGCTAAATTTATTTTTAAAACCTTATCTACTATGGACAATCCTTAGTTGCTTTAATACAGAAGGATTATGTAAACTAATTTCAGCAAGTCTGTAACTAGTCTGTTTATGTAACAATTTCAGCTGCTTTTTAAAAAAAATGTTTCTTCACATTGGCATGTGAAGAAGCTGGTTGATAATCAGATATAATCTAGAATAATTAAAGGTCTGTCACAATGTTCCTAGAAAACAAAAACTAGAGCTCTCATGGAGGGCAAATAAATTACATTCTTAGATAAACGGCCCTAAACATTTTGGCCTTTGGGCCAAATCCTTCTTTTACTCACTCGTTTTGTTGTAGCCAATGGGACTATTCGCATGTTTAAAGCGAGCAGCATTTTGCCCTTTATTTGGGTTCGCTTATAACTTTTGCCAAATTTATAGAAGATGTATTTCTATATTCATAGAAGGCAGATACTAGACAAATTTTGAGAAGACATAATTCAGTTCTGAATTGCTAAAAGCAGACTTTTTTTCTTTTCGTTCCAGCTTTCTCCAGTGTGTTACACTGCTAAGTTTCTTTTACCTGTTGCATACTTACCCTAATTCTGTCATCCCATCCATAAATTCCAGCTTTGAGAACTCACACTGTGTTGCAGCTCTGAATTTCCATGCAATGATCAGTACGCTAATACTGGCTGGGTCAAGTGCTAGGTCATCACAAAATTGCTGTATACCATCTATGCCAATTTTATTTTCATCTTGAGGATCTTTGGAATACAATCATAAAGATTAAAAACAAACATTAAATCTTCCATGATTTTGAAGTAATTTCCTTCACACATGAATAAACAAACACAAACATGCACAAAATCACCTCTGGAATAAGCCACATTAAAAGAGGATAATTAACCACTTTTTAAAAATATATACTTCAGATTCAATTTGTAAGAAAACATTAAGGCTTGTGGCAGTTATTGGAATGAATGCTCTGTACAGTGAAATCCTCTCTCTGTATCCACTGAACGGATAGTGTTCTGCATTTTCATTAATTTTCACTGATAAATTACTACTTTTTTTAATTAAAGGAGTTCAGTTTTTACTGATTTACACCCATTTATTAATCCAGTCAGTCTTTTTTCAGGTACTTATTTTTGTTAAACACAAAAGCTTTATATGATTGCTCTGTCCTTCAACTCTGAGACTGAAGCAGTTCCACAGTGTAAAAAAAACAGAACACACACACAGTGGAAGTTGAAAAAATCAAGCAATGTTAATATCGCACCACGACTGGCTCACAAGGACCTGCGGCCCGCCTATTTCTTTATATCCATTTAGTGTGGCACTGACTTAAGCAATCAATCCTCCACAGATAAAGATATATAATGCCCCCTATCCACCTGGATACCGCCTTTAGTGCCAATCTCCTTACAGGTTTGGATAAATGGGCCTGGGTTCTTCCAGATCCCCACACAGTCAGTCATGCCCTTGCGGTGGCTAGCTCCAAAATAGCTTTTTTCCCCTCCAGGGGGCTCCCAGGGACAGCATCTCACACCCTATTGGTCAGGCTAGCTCTTCTTCTCAGGCCTTCCTTTGTCAATCATTTCACTCTGCCCCTTCCTCTGAGCAGGCACATCTGCAATCCTTCCACAAACCAACTGGGCCTCCTTTTCTAAATAGTGTCTCTCCTCTCTCCCTCTTGGTTCCCTAGCAGACTCCGAGTCTGCCCTTGGTTCCCCCTTCCTACCAGGAACAGTGTGCCTCTCCCTGAACTACCAGCATACAGAACCACAGGAACCTAGACAAGCTCCTTGGGGATTACAGATAGGTAAGGTAAAAAGGTAAATATGGGGCAAAAATGCAAATCTATGCCTGAAAACCAACAAGAAAACCAATGCTTAGAAATGTTCAATAAAAGTAAAGACGGGAGCAAAGAGGATGCATTGCACTACAAGTACTGCAGCACTGAGGTCAGTGCTCGCACTGACAGACTAAAGAAGCATGTTGAAAGCAAGCGACACAAGAAGCTTAAAGAATAAAGTGAGCTTCGGGATAAACAGTTAATATCAGGAGCTTTCATCTGAGCTTTAATGAAAGAGAGGACATAGGATGATTGTGTCGATGAATTTGTGTGTGCTCTTTGTTTTGCCGGACAATCACTGTTAATAGCAGAGGGGCCTATTGGTGACTTTGCATGACAATATAGTCCAGCTGCAAAACCCCTTCCTAATGCAGACAACCTCACTTGTAAGTATCTGAAAGAACATGATGATGCTTTAGTATCTAAACTGTTTGAATGAATTGATGGAAACGGGGTGACTAGTCTGATTTTTTACAAGTCTCCTGATGCTTTGGATCACATGCTTCTTGGCCTTTTGTTTTCATTTTTTTATTTCAAAGCAAATAAACTTGCATTGTTTTCTGCTGATGTGACATTCATCCCCTCTGCTGCCAGCTATTTTGTCAACATGTTTGAGATGTACCAACTAATTTGGGAAAATGTGGCCACAACTAACACAGATTCTACTTCCTACATGGCTAAGTCTGCATGGGAGATTAAACTCAATCAGAAACAGGAGTTGCTATGTATTACCTGTCCTGCTCATCTGATTAATGTTGCATTGTCAGCAGCTACTGCTACAGAAGAAGTGAAAGACATTAAATCTTGCATCACTGGATTCGGGGCTGTTTTCAAGTACGTGAACAAGTTGAAGGATTTGTTTTATGCAGTGTGAGATGAGTGCAAAGCCGGCTGCCCATTATCTACCCTTGTTGTGCCACATTGGTGGATGAGCTTGTGTTTTGCTGCCTGTCATGTAACTAATGTGAGGACTGTGCTAATGTGTCTCCTAGAACATCTTGATTTTGTTGGCTCTAAAGCAGAAACTCTGAAGAGACTGGCAAATAACCCAAACAACCACCAGATTCTGCGCACAAAGTTTTCAGTAATGTTCACTGCTGAAAACTTGGAATCACTGTCACACAGAAAACACTGGAGTTTTCTCTGACTACTGCTAACACGTTTGCCAATACAGATGTTTACCAGATCCTGACAACTAAAATCTCATCTGAACTGAGCACAAAAGCTGCAGGAGACACATACGATGAGAAAACCCAGCTGTTTCTGGAAATCCTTCCCATCCCAGAATACAAGAAATAAAATACATTCAAAATCTTCAACACAACACTCATCGAGAAATGGGAGATGACCGTGGTCCGTAATCTGAATCCTGAAGTGTTTGGCGCTCAAGATTCTTCTTGGAATGTCAGCCAGGTATTGCACCCCGTCCTCAAGGTGAATTTTGTAGCAGACTATAACCCTTATATCAAAGTGTTTCAACCATTTGCCACTAAAGATGAAATTTCAAATCTGAAAAGGGAATTTACTACTTACATGAACTTGCCTAACCCTGACAACATGAAACTCAGTGTGCTGGCTTTTTGGAACAATCATCAAGACACACTTCCTAACTTCAGCAGAGTGCACCCCCGGATCTATTGAGGCAGAGCACTTATTTTCGAAGTTGGATTACCTCCACGACAACAACAAGAGGCTCAACATGAGTGAGGATACTTTGAAGAAAATTATGCGAGCGTACACAAACCAGGATTTCTGGAAAAACTACTAGCTCAGAGAGACAAAATATACCTTTGTTTGTTTAAAAAAAAGTTTCATTTATACTGTAGTAAAATGCATATGCTACAAGTTATTTTGTTTTTCTTTTTCCCCTCCCTATTTTTAACCCAATTTCATCCCGGTTTTGATGTTGGAAAATAAACACTGAAAAATTCCCAGATTTTTTTTTTTTTTAAAACAAATAAAAACTGAAAATGTGGAACACTAAGCATAGGCAAGAGCAGTGCAAGTGCCCTGTGGACGTGCACGCTCACCTCTAGGGTGCCCGCCTATTGCCCAGACACAGAGTTGCAGGGGACTTTGTCTCTTTCCCTCCCTCTGTTGGCTACTTTTCAGCTGCATTGATCACTCCCAACTCCTCCTTGGGGTATTTTGTGGCTTGACCCTCTGACCAAGCCAGGTTAAAGTCTAGACGTCTTCTGGAGTAGCAAGAATAAATCCAAATAAAGATTCAAATAAGTCTTCAAATTAACAGCCCCTCCACCCCCTTCAGGGTTCCTTACAGGTCCCTTGTTGTATCTGTCCTGTTAAGCCCTACTCCAGGGTATCTCTCCATCAGAGAGATCTGCCTTCTCTGGAGTCTCTCCAAAAAAAATGAGCTCCCTCAGTGTACTTGTATGGCTTAACTCTGCCTCCACTATCCAGGAGGCAATTAGTTACTCCCAAGATTCAAAGCATAACTAGTTGGATGCCTTCCCTTGCCTGGCTGGTGATGGGACTTAACCCCTATCACCTACCCACTCCCCGCCCCGAGGCAGTACCTGTCCAGGTATTCTGTCCGTGTTACTGTATTTGGCCTTGCAGTCATTCCAGCTCTTCTTCCAAGTCATGCATCCAGATGAACAAAGTGTTTTGGTCATCGAGCACATCTTGATAACATTCCTTCCAGTATTCTTTATCTTGCACATGTATTTGCAAGGCTTCTTCAGCAGTGGCTAACCTACCTTGGAATTACTGGAACTGTATTCTTTCCATGGCTGCTCCGGCCTCCTGTATTGCCTGTGACGTGGCAGATCAGAGTCCATGACCAGAGCAGCTTCTCCCGTCTCCTCACTCAGAACATCCGATTCCCACAAATTTGCCCAATTTGATCTCTCCCTTGCATGGTCCTGCTCTTGACTCCCAGAGATTGAGGCCCCACTGTCACATGCTTCCATGATATACAGTACAGCTAGTTCTTTTCATATGCCAGTCTTGTCCAAACCAGTTCTCGCTCTTGTTTTACAGCCTTCTCTATTATTCTCTGTCATGATGCTTCCAGTTTGCCTCATAACTGTGTTGCCAGGGCTTGTAATTGACTTGATGTCTCCTCTCAGAGTCTTGATGTCTCCTCTCAGCTCCCCACAGCCCATCGACTCCTCACCCTTGCCGCTGGGCCGTGCAGCCCAATACCCCACATCTAGGTGACGGTCATATTACGGTCAACAGATCCAAGCAGAACTCTTTCTCGTAATAGGGCTGGGAGATTAAGCCAGTCTCTACCCTCAATTATGGACCAGGAGAGGTGGAAGGTTGGACATATGACCAGGGAAGAGTATAAAAATATTGCTCGGGCATGTATGAATGAAATTAGGAGGGCCAAATCGCATCTGGAGCTGCAGCTAGCGAGAGATGTTAAGAGTAACAAGAAGGGTTTCTTCAGGTATGTTGGCAACAAGAAGAAAGCCAAGGAAAGTGTGGGCCCCTTAATGAATGAGGGAGGCAACCTAGTGACGGAGGATGTGGAAAAAGCGAATGTACTCAATGCTTTTTTTGCCTCTGTCTTCACGAACAAGGTCAGCTCCCAGACTGCTGTGCTGGGCATCACAACATGGGGAATAGATGGCCAGCCCTCTGTGGAGGAAGAGGTGGTTAGGGACTATTTAGAAAAGCTGGACGTGCACAAGTCCATGGGGCCGGACGAGTTGCATCCGAGAGTGCTAAAGGAACTGGCGGCTGTGATTGCAGAACCATTGGCCATTATCTTTGAAAACTCGTGGCGAACGGGGGAAGTCCCGGATGACTGGAAAAAGGCTAATGTAGTGCCAATCTTTAAAAAAGGAGGATCCTGGGAACTACAGGCCAGTCAGCCTCACCTCAGTCCCCGGAAAAATCATGGAGCAGGTCCTCAAAGAATCAATCCTGAAGCACTTA